ACAAGGCTGAAGCATTTAAAATAGGCAATGTCTCCATCATAATTTAATATAGGCAGTTCAGCGCACATCATTTTATACGTTGAATCAGTAATTTTCCCCGCCTGGTGTTTTGGAAGCAGGTATTCTCTCTATTCTTTCCTAGCAGCATCATGGAGGAGGGTTCTTTCCTAGTTGAAATTATCCTAATTTTGTTTGTTTCATTCTCAAGCAGTGTTATGCGGTACCATATATATTCACTGATTTCTTATTTGTATTGTTTATATGTTAAAAGTAACGTTCTGGATCATGTCATTTAAGTAGCAAAATCTAAATCTTGAGCATTATTTGTTTTTTATTGTAGCCTAATTATGTCTTCACCCCAGTGGCGTTACCCGATCCACAGACTGCTGAGCTCGCAATCGATCGATCGCCGGTTCGAATCAGCTCCGCGTCTCTCACCTTTCTTACATTCAAGCTTAATAACTGAATACTGAGTTCCTGAAAAAGTAGCAATAAACGACGTGACATAGTAGTCACGTTGTTGTGGACTCTGTTTGAAAATAATTCATTCATGCATGATGACATTGAAATAAGATCAATAAAGTACCTCCAGCGAAATTCCCAGCATTCAAACTTTGAATTTCTTTTTTTCATAATGTAAAAAAATGTGAAACGATCAATCATTGGACCATGTGTCATAGTGCATTACAGTGGACTGACAGAGTTGTTTCTTTAGATTCACACAGCATAGCTGCACCGTTCCTTTGCTTCTAGTTGCCTAAGAAACCGTTTAAGCAGGCCGTTACGCAGTGGCATTTTGGCACCTGCCATGCAGAGGCACAAAACCGCCAATAACAGTTTTAAGGGAAATAGAAAAGTGTCAAAAAAAGTTTGATTTATGCACAACGCAACAGTCAGAAGATTTACCGATTTTAGGCTCGTATCTCATGTGTCTGCTTCAAGATAAAGATAAAGGTAACTATCAGAAATCGTTCCGGTCATCTGCAAATGATCGTAAGTTCGCAGCCGAGAAGCTTCTCCGGACTTTACTTATATCTTTACTTTGAAGAAGACTCTTGAGACGCTGACCGAAACGTCGGTATTAGCCATCATCTGATTAACACGTTTAGAGTTGTTCATAAAGTAAAGCGTTTTTATGCTCTGTTGTAGCATGTTTTAATTTTTCGGGAGGAAGCAGTGAGGCATCACGCCGTCTACACTCTTGACAGAAATAATTTTCCGTTCAGTATGTATGCAGCCAGGCTTCCGCTAGGCTTACAGTGAAAAAATTGAGGTAAATGGACTAGACAGTAGGGTATTCAGTCCAAAATTCTTGGTGGCACAGACGGGAAGATGTTTCTCGACAGTTTTCCCGTTTTAGACTTGTCAGAGCGTCTTCAGTAGATGCGGAGTCATTTCAACAGTTCTAGCTTGTTTTCATTCGTCTGTGCCTTGAGTTTAATCGATTGAGCTGCTTTTCTGATTTATTTGTTTCAGAACTGCACATTGGGTAATGGAACATCTGACTCCTGATCGTATGGTATACAGCAAAGAAGTTGATCGCAAACAGTGCGTTTTTTCTGAAGACCAGTCGATACATCCGTTCTTCAGATCCACTAATGACGATTATAAAGTACCTGAAAGATCTACAGATAATAGTTCAGTCCTTTCGTTTCGTTGTAGAATAGTGGCTTCGATCGAGGGCATCTGGCTCCAGCCGGTAATCACAGGACGTCACAAAACGCCATAAGGCAAACATTTCTTCTCAGCAACATGTCACCTCAGGTAAATCATGATTGATATTTTTCAGCCGTGTTTAGTTATCCGTTGTCTTTTCGTCGCAGCTGGCAAAACACGGCATATGCTGTCCTTCACTGTCATCATGTAAGCCTTTCCTTCAGTCAGTTACACTTTGCACATCGAAATGCAGATTCTTAAAATTCTTCTTCCTCATGCTGATTTGCATTGATTTCCAGGATTATAAAATTATACATTAGCACGGGCAAAAATTTCGTTTATTATATTTTTGGCAGTGGGTTTGATATGGCGCCCCGATTATCGCTACTGTACGTTGTTTCCTACAAAAGTAAGTCCTCGGCTTAATTTAACAGTACATGAATTTATTCTGTTATTATTCTTCTCTCTGAAGTGTTTTCAACGGCCATTCCACGGACCAAGTGGACTTACTGCCACTCTTATCAGTGTTGTATTGTACCCTTTGCTTCCACCGTTGACCAAGCGGCTTCGTCATTTGGTCGTCCAGCATATTGGTGGACGACCGAGTGAACATCTGTTGCGGAGAGATGTTCAGATCGTAACCCGGGATATCCACCTGCTGTCTTTCAGACGAGCCACATGGCCTGCCTATCGTCTCTTCGACTTATGGACAGCAGTGAGTAATACAGAAATCATGTCTGACGTACTTTGAACGTGGTCTCGAAGGGAGACCTTGTCTATTCTTATTTCTATCTCCCTTTGCGTTGATTCTATCTTCTTTTCCTCTGCGTCGGTGATTGACCAACACTCCGCACCATAAATCATGACGCGTAGGACAGCAGAGTCAAAAATTCTTTCTTTATGGACATGGTCAGT